TATCTATCTATCTATCTATCTCATTCTGTTAATTATCTAATTCCATTCAGATCTATCTATCTATCTATCTATCTCATTCTGTTAATTATCTAATTCCATTCAGATATATCTATCTCATTCCATCTATCTATCTATCTATCTATCTATCTATCTATCTATCTATCTATCTATCGACCATAATCTCTTCCTATTTATCTCAGTCTGTTCATATCTATCTATCTATCTAACTATCTATCTATCTATGTATCTCATCCCATTCACATCTATCTTATTCCATTTATATCTATCTATCTATCTATCTATCTATCTATCTGTCTTATTTCTATCTAGCAGTCTATCTGAGTGAACAAATGAGAATGAAACAAAACTAACAAAATTTTAATAAATGCTATTTTCCTCATGAATTTATTTGTGCCATTCAAAAAATCATTTGGGCTGCAGGCCACAGTTTGTCTATGACTGCTATCTATCTCTCTCTCTCTCTCTCTCTCTCTCTCTCTCTATCTATCTATATATATATATATATATATTCAACTTTTAAAACCATTTATTTTCTTTTCAACATCATCACTTGATAAGACACAGAGTGTGTTGAAACAAAATGGCTATTTTTGTAGTGATTTTATAACATACTTATGTTATAATTTTTTTATAAAAATAATTATATATATATATATATATATATATATATATATATATATACAAACACCCAAACTTATCTGCTTCAAAAATGGTTTACATCCAGGTTTGGGAGACATGTGCCCCACAGGCCCCAGTTTATCCTTGACTGCTCTCTCTCCCTCTCTACATACATGCATACATAGATACATACATACATATATATAATTTATAATTTATTACATGGAACCTTAAAGTTGTCGGTTTTTAATTAAATTATTTGCTCTGGATTTACATTGAGCTCTCTGGATTTTATCTTCCTTAGGTTTACCCATACGGATTACCTAGTTTTTCATAAACTATATATATGTATATATATATATATATATATATATATATTATAAATTAATTGATTTAAAATATGGTTTTTCTGCTACACAGTTCTAACCATGTTTCAAAAATGGAAGGTCCAAATTTAATTTTGTAATTAAAGACATTAGTTGCATTTATATATCTTACTGTTATATATCTTACTGATATTTATATCTTACTGTTCTTTCTTTTTATATATATATATATATATATATCATATTTTTATTATAATGGATTATGATAAAAACATTTTACATCACTATACAAAAGCTTTCATGTTTCAATACTATGATTGTTCTTCATCAGGCAAAGAAAGCTTTTGTGTAACAATATAAAATGTTTTTATTATAATTTATTATGATAAAAATGTAATAATAATTTATATTGAGCACTTTTTAAAAAGTAAATGCTATGAACTGTCAAATTTGATTCCATTTGTTCTGTCCCTTATTTGTGTGTCTATCTGTATATATATATATATATAAATGTTGACATCTATGTTCACTTTCATATATATATATATATATATATATATATTAGTGTGTATATATATATATATATATATATATATATATATATATATATATATATATATATATATATATATATATAAATTCCAAAGAGGATAGAATCCGGGTAGAACTCAATGTCCAGGACAGAGTAAGAATTTTTGAATTTGTAGGTCTGATGAATTGGATCATGATTACAATTCCAATTTAATAAATATAACCATGGAATATTAGTGTTTGGGCCTTTTATATTATATTATATATATATATATATATATATATATATATATATATATATATATATATATATATATATATGCACACAAACACCAAATCTTACTCATACTATTCTCTTCCAAAAATGGTTTACATCCAGGTTTGGGGGACAGAATGACTAAATGCCAATCCGATTTTAAATCAAAACTTTTTTCATATACTGCATATATACATGTAGAAATATTTTCAGTTGTGTCAATATATGCGTGTATATGGGGTATGTATGTGAGAGGGAGAGAGAGAGAGAGGAAGAGAGAGAGAGGAAGAGAGAGGAAGAGAGAGAGAGAGAGAGAGAGAGAGAGAGGAAGAGAGAGAGAGAGAGATGGTAAAAGTCAGGAAGTTTGTTTATTCTTTCTTTTTTATATTTTTCTTTTTCCTGTTTCTACTCTCTAATCTGTGTCATCCTTTCATTCTCTCTCTCTCTCTTCCTCTCTCTTCCTCTCTCTCTCTCTCTCTCTCTCTCTCTCTATCTCTCTCTGTCCTTGGAATTCTTCTTCATAATATTATCCTCTTTTTCTCTCTCTTTTTCTCTTCCAATCTAATTTCATGGATAAAATTTATATTATTAACATAATGTTGATATATTGGAGATATTTAGTAAACAGATGAAATTTGGTATGTGTTCATTTTTCCTCTTGGGTCAGCATTTTATAAAAAATATTTTTTCATACCATAAAATATATGAGTCACTATATATAACTTTATTTCTCACTGAATCAGTATCTATCTATCTATCTATCTATCTATCTATCTATCTATCAGTCTCTTCATATCTATCTATCTATATATATTTGTATGTATATATATATGTATCCATCTATGTCAATCTTTTCAAATGCAGCTATATATCTGTCTACCTTTCTATCTCAGTGTTCATATCTATCTATCTATCTATCTATCTATCTATTTGCCTATCTATCTATATATTTTAGAATTTTAAAATCTATCTATCTATCTATCTGTCTATCTATCTATCTATCTATCTCACTCTCTCTCTCTCTTTCTCTCTCTCTCTATCTATCTATTTGCCTGTCTATCTATCTATATATTTTAGAATTTTAAAATCTATCTATCTATCTATCTATCTATCTATCTATCTATCTATCTATTTGCTTGTCTATCTGTATATTTTAGAATTTTAAAATCTATCTATCTATTATAGTAATTTAAAATCTATCTACTTTTGATTTATCTATCTATCTATCTATCTATCTATCTATCTATCTATCTATCTATCTATCTATGTGTTTGCCTGTTTGTTTATCTATCTATATATTTCAGAATTTTAAAATTTATCTATCTATCTATCTATCTATCTATCTATCTATCTATCTATCTATCTATCTATTTGCTTGTCTATCTATATATTTTAGAATTTTAAAATCTATCTATCTATCTATCTATGTCTGTTCATACATATCTATCTCAGTCTATCTATGTCACATTTTTTTCTTCTTTATTCTTATTTTCTCTAATGTAAACTATTCTTCCATATACCTCAGTCTGTGTACCACTGCCCACCATTTTAGTGTTCTGTCTCAATAGCTGTTCCTATCAACACAGAAACATTTTGCTTTTTGCCCATATATAATAAACCAGTGATTGTTTTATGCGATGACAATTTATTCAATTGTTAGTCCTTTGCCCTACCACACACCCCAGACACTCCAGTGCCACTCCAACAACCACCTGAATTTCTTCTCTCATTCTGTTCTTCACCTTCAATGGAACCCAATACAACAAAAATGTCTCCCTGTAATTTTTATTGTTGTTATAATTAACTGAAACACTTATTGGCAGCTATTTTTTTCTTCTCTTTTTTAATATGTAAGTGTATGCATGCTGTTTTTAATATATAAGTGTATATTTGCTGATTTTAATAAGTGTATGATAATATTAATATGTTGGTGTATGTTTGCTGATTTTAAAATGTAAGTGTATGATGAATTTAATATATAAATGTATGTCTGCTGATTTTAATATGTAAGTGTATGTCTGATGATTTTAATATGTAAGTGTATTATGGTTTTAATATGTAAGTGTATGATGATTTAATATGTAAATATATGTCTGCTAATTTTAATTTGTAAGTGTATGCTGATTTTAATATGTAAGTGTATTCTGATTTTAATGTGTAAGTGTATGCTGATTTTAATATGTAAGTGTATGTCTGCTGATTTTAATGTGTAAGTGTATGATGATTTTCATATGTAAGTGTATATCTGCTGATTTTAATATATAAGTGTATATCTACTGAGTTTAATATGCAAGTGTATGATGATTTTAATATACAAGTACATGTTCTGCTGATTTTAATATGTAAGTGTATATCTACTGAGTTTAATATATACATGGATGATGATTTTGATGTGTAAATGCATGTCTGCTGATTTTAATATGTAAGTGTATGTCTGATGATTTTTAATATGTAAGTGTATGAAGACTTTAATATGTAAGTGTATGTCTGATGATTTTAATATCTAAGTGTATATCTGCTGATTTTAATATGCAAGTATATGAAGACTTTAATATGTAAGTGTATGTCTGCTGCAATTAATGGAAGCAAGTGGATATGACATTTTTGTTGTTGTCTGTCTTTCGCCATTAGCCTCGTTCCCACACTAATATTAAGAATCCAACAACCACCTACTATAGTAGGTCGGTCCTATTGATGTTTTCTTTCTTTTAAAAGGTTCTCGGTGATTATTTAATGTCTCGTTAATTACCAGTTAATTTTTTGTCCTTCCTGTTTTTTTTAAATCCTTTCAATGACATCTTATTAGCTATTTGTAGTCATTAATTAGTCGTTAATTAATTAATTAATTAATTAGTCCCAATAGTCATGGAAATTACTGACAATAATCATTAAAAACATCGTTTAATTTATTTTAGATTTCCAGACAAGTATTTTTTTTTCTCCATAACTGTTATAAATCTACGAGTAGATAAGTTCACCTGTCACCCAGTTTTCTCTTCTCCCAAGTCTTTTGAACAGGAGTAGAGGTTTATCCCTTGTTTCCTGTTCAGGATTGGGTTTCCGGTTCCTTCTAAAGTCTACTTCAACTCTATACTTCTAACGTCTCCATTTGAACACTGAAATTTTATTTACTACTTATTTTCTCCTCAATATGATTAAAGAAGCAACTATCACCAGGCTCACACTCCTCCCCAATCTTTGGAATAGGAGTAGAGGTTTATCCCTTGTTTCTTGTTCAAGATTGGGTCTCCGGTTCCTTCTAAAGTCTACTTCAACTCTGTACTTCTAACCTTTCCATTTGAAATTTGAATTTTTATTTACTAAGTAGTTATTATGATTGAGGAATCGGAGAGCCGAGTTCGAATTCCAGTCGAATCCATTACATTCACCTACATGCTAATACCCTTGGGAAAGGTATGAATCCTCTTCTTCTCCCCCCAGCTATGGGTAAATAGCAGGACAGACTGGGTTTTATAGTCTTGGAGGGCAAATGGTCTACTGCAGAAAGAAATGGCAACCTACTGCGGGAAAAAAAAATCTGCCTCGTCAGTCCTGTATTAAAAGATACATGATCGCCTAAGTGTGTATCATGCATGGCACATAAATGACTGAGTTATTACCCATTTTTATCTTTCTCTCTTCTTTTCCTCACTAGAAGTAGGTAGGTTTGACTGTTGTCCGGTTCGCATCCTGTTCTTTTGAACAGGAGTAGAGATCCATCCATACCTTTCTTTTCTGTTTAGGATTGGGTTTTCATTTCTTTCTAAAGTTTTTCTCAATCTCTTTCATTCTCAGTGGTCCATTGTGTTTTAGGGTCATTATTGCCTTGCTTGGGGTGAAATGATTAAAGAAAAAAAATTACTTATTGCTGATAAAATAAGAGCATGAGTAAGATAGATATTATTTGACCCTGAACTTCAAGAGACGAAGAATATCAGGGAAGCATTATCAGGGAAGCATTCTCTTGAGAGTTTGCTCTACAAGTATCAGCTCCAGGGAAAAAACTATCTTTCTTTTTATCAAAGGATAAGGAATATCTCTGTGCAATTCAAGTCGTTTTATTTGTTTATTGAAAATAAAATGGAACCTATTTTTGCAGATCTGAATTTTTGAAAATTACAAATTCAATTTTTCACTTTGGCCTTGAAGTTCAATTTTACAGAATACAACCTTTCATTTTTATATATACTATAAAAAACCCAGAAAGAACAATCAATACAATATATAATAAGAAAATTACAAACTAAATGCTAAATCTATCTATCTATCTATCTATCTATCTATCTATCTATATATATATATATATATATATATATATATATATGAAGAAATATAGTCTTAAGATGTGCAATATTTATGGGATAAAATGCCAGTATCAGAGATAGAGCATGTGTAAATATAAAAGTGAACACAGAAGTCAAAACTTAGAGGCGACAGTCTGTTTCATGCTAGATGCAATCGTCAGGCCTCTAAGTGTTGATTTCTATGTTCACTTTTATATATATATATATATATATATATATATATATATATATATGTGTGTGTGTGTGTGTGTGTGTGTGTGTGTGTGTGTGTATATATATGTATATATATTTATAAAAATAGTATAACAAATTGTAAAAAAATTTTGTATGCATTTCATCTGTTAGGATTTCATTGGACTGAAAGAACAGAAAAGAACATTCAATTCATTCAATATAATAAAATTAAAACTAAATGCTATATATATATATATATATATATATATATATATATATATATATATATATATATATATATATGTATATATATATTTTCTGAGATATGGTATTATGTACATTATTTACATTATTTGGACTATTGTCCTCATCTTTGTCGCCATATTTTATTACAACGTTTTGGCCGTCTTACGCTTCGGCCTTCTTCAGGTGGTTGGAATGTCAAACTGAACCCTTTATTTCGCTCACTGGAGTAGACTGTTCTAGTTCCACGTGCCATGTTTAATGGATGTCAGTTATCAGTTATCTCCTGTTAATTTTTCTCTAAACGTTCTCCACTGCCTTAACCGCATATTGAACTCACACTCTTTGGGTCCTGTCATTGGATCTAACCAACGCCTTTATCCACTGTGCCATGTATGAAGAGGGCCGGAGTGTACAACAGCTGAAACGTTGTAATAAATATGGCGACAAAGATGAGGATAATAGTCCGAATAATGTAAATAATGTACATAATGCATGTGTGTCTGTATGTGTGTGTATATATATGTATATGTATTTGTAAAAATAGTACGACAAATTGTAAAAAATGTTTTTGTGGTGCGTTTCATCTGTTAGGATTTCATCGGACTGGGCTTTATTAATGTTGCGACATCTACACATGCCCATGAAACAAGAGATGCTGGTAGTTTCCGAATTTTTAAAAGAATATTTTTTTGAAAGAATATTTCTTCACTCTAGCCAAATTCATCTTTATTCTTTATCTTTTTCCCTAACTATCCGACATTGTGACAACAGAAAATCTATCAAGAATGGTGATATATTGTAAGAGGCTAAACACAAATCTATCATGGCTGAACTAACAATCAAAACACTCTCCAGTTTTTTTTTGTCTCAGTGGATTATTTTCTCTTTTAATCAAAGTAGCATTACCTATGTCAAAATTGTAGTCAGTTTCATTACAGTGAATAATCAATATGTTTTACGTGTTATTTTGTAAAATGTCCTTTTCGTGTTCATGTAGTCCCTTGTTTAAACTCCTTGAGGTTTCTCTAATGTATTCGTTCTGGCAGTTTCTGCTTGTTTTGTTTTTTTATTGTCTTTGAGTGTTTTAGAATCAGTCATATTTATATATATATATATATATATATATATATATATACAATTATTTTTTATAAAAAAAAAAATTTATAACATAAATATGTTATAAAATCACTACAAAAATAGACATTTTGTTTCAACACCCTCGGTGTCTTATCAAGTGATGATGTTGAAAATATATAAATATATATATTTATATATTTTTATATTCAATGATGATGTTTATAAAAAATAATTATATCTGCTCTACTTTGTATTGAGCACTCTTTTAAGAATAGTAATTGTTGGTTATTGGAATTCATTCCGTATACACCAATTATATATATATATATATATATATATATATATATATATATTTGTATTTAGGCAGAAATCCTTCTTCCATGCACATTTCATTGAATATGACAGATAAGGTGCTTTTATCTAGTTTTTTATACAATTTCTCATGCGATCTTATAATAATTTTTTCTTTTCAGATGATAAATTATATAAAAACTGTCTGAATGTTGTTTTTATCCGAGTGCTTTCGCCTTTAGCCATTTTCAAGGATTGAATATTGTAACTGTTAAATAAGAAATAGTTTGTTGCATGTATGTTTTATAAAATGTTTTCATTTTTTCCAAACACGGTCAAGATATTGTGTCCATGTTCATAGTTAATATTATTAAATAATGGGGTTTTTTTGTGTTTATTAATAAGGCTTCCATTATTTTTAGCCTTTTTTTGCATGTAGATGATGATATTTTGTTAGTGTTGTCAATAAGTATGTTATGAATAGTGTCTGGTAGGTTTCCATGAATATTTAAATAAGATCTAATTGAGCTATTGTCAGAAAGATGAAGAGTGAGTCCGCATGTTAAACATGTTGTAGTGTGGCCTTTATAATTATTTTTTGATTGATCAGGAATACAATTCCTTAATGGGCATTTAATATATATATATATATATATATATATATATTATTAAAATTTTATTTTTAGTGGATACTAATATTTGAGTAGACGCTGTTTATTTATTAAACAGTATATTTATATATTTTTGGTCTACCAGCCTGAATATTTGAAAACTTATTAAAGAAAAATATGGGTTCTCTGGCAAGATTGGAACTTGTATTCTCCTTTCTCAGAATAAACCATCATTAGATTCAATGTGCTTTAGACTGACATGTCCATGAAGTGTATCGTTGATCAAGCAATGTTGAATAGTGCCTTATAAATGCAAATCTTCCCAGACTCTCAAAACATTCATATCTGTTTGGTTTTCTATCCTAATATAAACAAAGCAATCTCCAAAGTAATAATGGATTTTTATTTATTAATCTGACAGATATATATATATATATATATATATATATATATATATATATATATATATATATATATATTGTGCATATTTAGGCAACATATTTTAAACAGGTTTGGTTAAATAATTTAGAGATATCATATCAATTAGTTTTCACTGTGATCTTTTCAAGTTCGCAGATTAGTTTTTTAGTAGATTTAGAAAATTGAGTAAGAAAAATACCAAAATTTTCTTTCGAATAGTTTTTATTTTCCCAAGTTTTTTCACTCTCATTCAAGATCATCTTGTCTGTGAGTATGTATATGTGTTTCTGTGAATTTAAAACATCCCAACTGTGTGTTTTGAAAGAAAATTTTGTTATTTTTCTTACTCAATTTTCTACGTTTACCAAAAAATTAATCTGCGAACTTGAAAGGTTCACAACCAAAACTAATTGACATATGTCTAAATTATTTAACCAAACCTGTTTTAATATATATATATATATATATATATATATATATATATATATATATGTGTGTGTGTGTGGGGGGTGTATAATATTTTAAATAAGGAGTTTTAAAACCCTACAGTAGTATGCTACAAAATGTTTTTCCTTAACAGATATCACCTCTAGGAGGAACCATGTCTTTAGAGGATGTTGGGCCTCAAACTCACACCCGACCTCAAGTGCAACTCCTATATATGATTCATCGCTAAAGATGCAGGTAAAATGATTGGCTCCCTGTACCACTCCAGGAAGTATCTGACTCCTCGTACTATTCTCTACCTTTATAAAAGCCAGATCAGGCTGAAAATAGAGTACTGTTGCCATATTTGGGCAGGAACTTCAGGTCGTCACTTTCCAGTTTAGATAGACTTTAAAAGTGTCTCCGAATACTTGTGGGTGACAAATTATTTTCCACCCTTCAACCTCTCTCTCACAGGTGGGATTTGGTGAATCTCTCACTGCTCTCTCGCTAATACCATGGAAAGTGCTCGGGTGAGCACTTCATGGCTAGGACCCCCTTTCACTTACATCATAGCAAACCACCCACATTCCCTCCGTATTCAATGAGTGAGAAGTAAGTTCCATTCAAACAGCTTCTTTCCATGAACAACTGCCCTGTGGAACCGATTCCCAAGAGGATGTTTCTTTGATCACTACAATCTTAATCTGTTCAAGTCTAGAGTTAACCATTATCTTCCCCTTCTATCCTTATGAACTGCCTATTAACATAACCCTCTACCTTGAGTGGCCCTCGGGTCTTGTACAGGTGAACTTGACTGTAAAAGAAAAAAAAAAGGAGTCAAATTTTCATGATTAGACAAGTAGATTCAAGTAATTTTCTGAATATCTCTGTCGTGTACCGATAGTGGGTTTTCGGTTTTAGTCATATTTGCATGAAATACAAGCAAGTTTTATATATTTCCGCAAACTGAAACCTATTTTTGCATATTTGAATTTGTTAAATGAAAACATAGAAATCAAATTTTCTATTTGATTTTTCGAAATAAATCCAGTTTTAAAAAAAAAATTATTTCTCTTATAAAAAACCAAAAAGAACACTAAAGACAACATATAAAAAGAAAATTAAGAACTAAATCATATATCTATAATATTTTAAACGGCATATTTGAAAAGCCAACGTACTAATGCTGTGACAATGCTCATTGGTACTGACAGAGGATTAAGAATATTAGAATATTGCTACCATATATGCCCTTGCTATTTACATTAAGATCCTTGATAAAATCCAAAGAAGAATCAGCAATATTATTGATCCTGATCTGGCAACTCGATTTCAGTTACTTTCCCACCACTGTAAGGTTGCCTCTCTGTGTCTTTTCTATAAATACCATCCTGGTATTTTTTGGGATGAGCTCTTCTGGGGACTAGTTAGTATTTTCATAGAGACAAAGAGGTATTATGGTGGTTGTAGTAAGAAAGGTACATACAAATGTGTTGATTTGCTGCAAGGAATATTGTTCGTACGATTGGGTCAGTGTTTGCGGCTAGCTAAGTTATAGTTAAGACAGAAGAAGACCGTCTTTTCCCCAATCCCCCCCTATGGCCTTGTGCCACATTTCTGTAGAGAACAGAATAAATCTCTCTCTTCTCTGTGGTACCTAGTCTTTTTGAATTTAAGTGCAGTATGAGACTGGCGCTGAGATCTCATCCATTTACAGTTGAGCTGGCTAGATGTAGCCATAATTTCTATGCTAACAGTTTCTTTTCTGGTACTTTTTGCTTCCGGCTCCATGCTTTCCAGTCAACTTTAATCTAAAAAAATTTAAATGCAATGTCAATCGCTATCTACTGTCCTGATTATTCCTTCCTTTTTCCGCTCATTATTAAGGTTTCTGTTCCTAATTCTTCCACACCCTGTGTTATGGTCCAGTTTAGGACCAAGGAAGAACATTACGATCACAAGAGTAGAAATAACGAAGGTATATTACACAAAATAATAATACAAGATGTGAAAGGTGTTAGTATGACTGTCAGTCTGGTTTAGAGTGAACTACTATCAGCTCGACTCGATTCGTCCCTCTCTCTTGTGAGGCATAGTATACATGGGGTTAGGAAGAGTTCATTCTGTAGTTATAGGTAAGGACCCATGATACCCTGTAACCACCTTGTGTCTTAGTGGCTTTACTGCCTTGCATGGGGTGATTCTATATTAGAATATTATTTGGAAAAAATAAACTTCAAGGTAGGTTATTCTGCCTACTATCCGTTTCTTTGTTTTCATCTGTGTGAGAATGATTTGGTTGGTTGATTTGTTTTCTATGGTCTATCAACCCTTTCTGGTTATTTAAAGCCAGAAAATATTTTTAGATCGTAAGAATTTTTTTTTGAGAGATGATAATGGTTTAGTGATACCTATCTTACTGTTTAACTCATAGCTGGAGGGAGAAGAGGTGGATTCATACCTAACCAGAATTTGATAAACAAACAAAAAAATATATATGTGGATATAAAATGGGGGTCCAATTTTATATAACAATCAGTATATAAAATGATCCCTCACTTTGTAGTCACAGTATTTTCTATACATTTATATTCCAGAGAATGTAAATAAATCTAAAAGACATGACTGTGTAGCTAATAAGAATTTCAATGACTGTTTCATTCATTTTCTATGGCTTATAAACCTTAGTGGGTTATTTCAAACCAGAAAATATTTTTAGATTGTAAGAATTTTTTTTTTTGAGATGATAATGTTTTAGATTGTAAGAATGTGGTGGGGAGAAAATAGTGGTTTTAGTGATACATCTCTTACTAATTAACCCGTAGATGAAGGGAATGTGGATTCATGCCTTTCCCATGGATATTTGTATGTAAGTAAATATAACAAACCCAATGGGAATTGGAACTCGGTTCTCTGTTTAACAATTCTGAGCTGTTATCCATTACATTATCAGCACATCCAAGCTTGCAGCCCCTGGTATTCCCAAGCGGTCAACCATCTAGGTACTGACCTGGATGGATGTTGCTTAACTTCAGTGATCGTATCAGAACTCGGATCTCCGATTAACAATTCTGAGCCATTATCCATGACACCACCAGCACATCCAAGCTTACAGCACCTGGTATTCCCAAGCGGTCACCCATCTAGGTACTGACCAGGATGGATGTTGCTTAACTTCGGTGATCGTATTGGAACTCGGCTCTCTGATTAACAATTCTGAGCCGTTATCCATTACACCACCAGCACATCCATGCTTACATCAGCGGGTATTTCCAAAATGGTCACCCATCTAGGTATGGGTGGATGTTGCTTAACTTCGGTGGTCATAAGCCATTGTGTGGATGAGAGAAATAGAGAGAAAGTAAGAAAATATAGTAAAATAAAATGTTTCTAAAGTATTAAGTCAGTTATGCATGTAGCTGATGCATTCACTTTGAGAGAGGCATGAATCCAATTCTTCCCTCACCTCTCCCAGCTATGCTTAAAATATCAGGGCATATGGGACTTTCTAGCCATAAATAGCAATCAGTGTAAGAGAAGTACAACTCTAAATTTAAAGCAGTCGGGAGCTTAACTTACAACTCTAACCTTATAAGAGCCTATTTGCTACTGAAAACAAAGAAATATTACTTCGTGCAGAGTTTGGCAACATTTTGGAGAGAGTGAATAAGAATCTATGCATTGTCTTGGAGGAGGGACATAATATCAAATGTATTATAATAAAATGTCTCAACCTCAGATCGCTCTGTCCAGAAGGCTGCCTTGGTCTGGAAGTTTAAAGAAGAAACAACGTAGTTAATATATTATTTAAACAAGGTTCCTTATTTTACAGCAGGAATGGGATATATATATATATATATATATATATATATATATATATATATATATATATATATATACTTAAATTTTATTTTTAGTGGATACTAATATTTGAGTAGATGCTGTTTATTTATTAAACAGTATATTTATATATTTTTGGTCTACCAGCCTGAATATTTGAAAACTTATTAAAGAAAAATATGTGTTCTCTGGCAAGATAGGAACTTGTATTCTCCTTTCTCAGAATAAACCATCATTAGATTCAATGTGCTTTAGACTGACATGGCCATGGAGTGTATCGTTGATCAAGCAATGTTGAATAGTGCCTTATAAATGCAAATCTTCTCAGACTCTCAAAACATTCATATTTTGGTTTTCTATCCTAATATAAACAAAGCAATCTCCAAAGTAATAATGGATTTTTATTTATTAATCTGACAGATATATATATATATATATATATATATATATATATATATATATATATATTTATATATATATATATTTAGGCAGCATATTTTCATTCAAACAGGTTTGGTTAAATAATTTAGATATATCAATTAGTTTTCACTGTGATCTTTTCAAGTTCGCGGATTAGTTTTTTAGTAGACTTAGAAAATTGAGTAAGAAAAATACCAAAATTTTCTTTCGAATAATTTTTATTTTCCCAAGTATTTTCACTCTCATTCAAGATCATCTTGTCTGTGAGTATGTATATGTGTTTCTGTGAATTTAAAATATTTCAACTGTTTGTTTTGAAAGAAAATTTTGTTATACAGTCACTTTCTCAAAAACATCATTTGGCTTCTCTCTGTCATTTTTTTAGAAATATTTTCATGGCAAGTGCTCTGATGAGCTACTTTTACTGCTACACCAACTGCATGAATTTAAGCGTTCTACTAGGTTGGCAACTTGGTCCCACCCTTTCACTGTCAAAATGTTTAAATGTAGCTGTCCCTTCTACTCTAACAGCTTCTTATCTCACACTTCCCAACAGTGGAATTCCCTTCCTCTTACTTGCTTCCCTGATAGCTCTAATCTTCAAATATTCAAATGTAATTTCAATCAACAGCTTCTGATACCTTAAACCTTATACCCGTCCTTCTCCATAATCTTTCCTTAAACACCCCTCTTTACTCTCATTCTCTGTAACCCCTTGCGTGCTAGTGGCACTCCCATCTTGCTTGGGGTCAAATGCTTAATAAAAAAAAATAGGGAATAACAGGACAACAACTAACACAATAAAAAAATGAAAATTTCTTACTACAAAAGAATTACAGTTAGAAATGGCAAATTATTTAATGAAACACTTGTTTCTGCTTATTGTTCAATAACTTCTCCATATTAGGGGAAATATTTATCAATGACAGGGTCAAAAGGTCATTCAGGTGGTCATCACCAAACTTGTTCTTAAATGACTTTTTAATATATTTTCTAAAAGAGTTATTCACATGTATATGTACTTCCAAATACTGATACCATCCAAATACTTTTCCAAAAATTTTCAAATACCATCTAAATACTGAAACTCTCCTTTTCCAAATACCATCTGAATACTTTTCCAAATTTTGCAAATACCATCCAAAATTTTACAAATACCATGCAAATACTGATGCCATCCTTTTTTCCCCAAATACCATCCAAATACTGATACCATCCTTTTTTAAATACCACCCAAATACTTTTCCAAATACCATCCAAAATTTTCCAAATACTGATAACATCCTTTTTTGAATACCATCCAAATACTGATAACATCCTTTTTCAAATACTATTCAAATACTGATACCATACTTTTCCAAATACCATCCAAATACTTTTCCAGATTTTCCAATACTGATACCATCCTTTTCTGATTATTCAATAGGCTTTTCTATTTTCCACTTGGCAAAACACATTTCTTTTAGAATTCAGAAGTGGATTTTTAAGTCAATTAACTCCAACTGATTTTTTTCTGCCACTTGCTCCACAAAATAATTAGATATTTTCCAGGTATTAAGCTGGCGGGCTTGGACAAAAATCCTTCACAGGCTGGATGTGGCCCAAGGCTTGCCAACCCCTGACCTTGTGTAAGAGTGATATGGTCTGCATCTTTACAGGCTAATTAAAAAAATGTTATGAGTTAAAAAATGACAGACATATTTAAGCAATTTTGCAATTGTATTTACTGCATGAATAGTCTAAAAATTTATCTTTTTTCTAATCATTTCACCCCAAGCAAGACAAAAAATGCCACTAGTATTAGATTACAGGGAGTGAAAGTGAAAGCAAAGACTGAGAATAGGGAGGATTACAGAAAGAATGAAAGATGAACAGAATTCAAGAAGATAGAAGATAGTGATTGACATTGCATTTAAATTTTTGAAGATTGTAATCAGGAAAAACAAGTAAATGGAAGGGAGTTACACAGGTGGGAAGTATGAGAAAAGAAACTGTTGGAGTAGAAATGGCAGCTGCATTTAACTATTTCAACAGTAAATGGGTGGGACCTAGATGCCAATCTAGTAGCACACTTAAACTCATGTAGTTGGAGCACCAGGGAAAAAAGCATATCAGAGCAGTTGCCATAGAAATATTTGTAGAAAAGACAGAGGGAAGCCACATCACATTGGCGAGAAATTGACTGAAGTTGAGATGCCTGGTCAGGATCTATTACATTGCAGATACTTCTTTGAATATTCTCAAGAATCTCATGATGAATAGCAGGGTCAGCAGTATTCAATAAATGGACAAATGCTAGATTTGTAAATGTGCAAGATGGTTTCTGACGAGAAAAATTTTCAGTGACCCAACTTTCCTTGCAGTAGATGCAGTGCAATTGATTCTATTATTGCACATGAGAAAGTGACCTGCTTTTTAAAATCATTACAACTGAAAATATTAAAGAATACTGTCAAAATATGATGACAATGTTTAAGTAATTTTAAATTGTATTGGATGCATTTTCTAGATAAGTAATCTGGGTTTTGTCTTTCTATAGTTAACTCTATTGTCTCATGGCCCAAGAGCCACTCAAGGTAGAGGGTTACTGATTGAGAGTGTAAGGAATGTGGAAAGAACCCTGGACTTAAAGAGTTGTAGTTGTCAGGGAAGCATACTCTTGGGAGTACCAGTTCTGTGGAGGAAGCCGTCTGAGTGGAACTTGCTTTTTATCAAAGGCAACCGAAGGGAATGACGTTGGTTTGCCACTGTGGACACAGTATGATGGGTCCCAGCTGGGAAGGTCTGATCTGGTGGCACTAAGGAATGTAGCATGTCTGAAAATCTGCCATAGTAATAGCAATATAGTAGTGAAAGGCTGCCCGCATTTTGTCTGTTGCAGGGTGGAGAATTACCTACAAGGCCGTGTAAGTACTTTTGAAATCTGTTGAGGATGGACAGTGAGGATTTAGCAAGATCAACCCACATATATACTCCATTATTGGCCTGAACTGAATCTTGTAAAGATAGGGCATGGCAGCAAGAATTAGGTATTTTCTGGAATGATGCAAGGAATTGTACATTCTTCCAGCATCTTTGGCAGTGGCAATGTTCCATTTGATATGGCAGAAATTCTCCATTCTTGGTCTGATTTGACTCTTATAAAGATAGAACATGGTAGGAGGAATCAATTCAATTCTTGAGTGATAGAATGAGCTGAAACATCTCCAGGCCCAGATATGGCAGCAATACTCCATTCTTGGTCTGATCTGACAATTATAAAGCTACAACAATGGCAGCGGGAGTTAGATATCTTCTGGAGCAATACAATGAACTGACCATTCTTCCAGCATCTTTAGCCATGGAACAAATATATGCATACCATTTGAAGTCTGATGGGAACTTCTGAACTCTGCCGAGCATGGACAGTGAGGATCATGCAGCACCAGCCCAGATATTCTATTTGAGGTCTGATGTGAACTTTTGAACTGTAGGTTAGGTGGCCCCGGCACAGATACAGCATCAGTCCTCCATTTTTGGCTTGATCTGACTCTTGGAAAGATAGAGCAATGGCAGCAGAAGTTAGGTATTTTCTGTAGTGATACAATGAACCAACCATTCTTCCAGCATCTTTGGCGATGACATAAATATATATATGTTCTGTCTGAGGTCTGATGTGAACTTTTGAACTGTAGATTAGGAATTCCCAGCACAGATACAATGGCAATCCTCCATTCTTGGTTTGGTCTGACTCTTGTAAAGATAAAGCATGGCAGCAGGAATTTTCAAGCGCAATAAAAGGAACCAACCATTTTGCCATCACATTTTGTGATGGCGCAAATATACTCATTCCACTTTAGCTTTAGACCCAATAGGCATTTGAAGTAAAGATGAAACATTACAAATTTTATTTTGGATGTCTTGAATGATATCAGCCTGCCTTTTCCCCAGTGAGCT